CTATTTTACTATTTGATTTATTTTAATAAGAGGATTTAAATTTTATCTTTTATAACCATTAAATAACAAGTTATTTTTTTTTAAAATTTTATTATATATTATTTAAAATATAACTATTTTACTATTTGATTTATTTTAATAAGAGGATTTAAATTTTATCTTTTATAATCATTAAATAACAAGTTATTTTATTTTAAAATTTTATTATAATATAATATAAAATATTAAATTATATTGATTATTTTTTAAATAGTATAAATTCTATTTTTAAATTATTATGTAAAAAATACAATTGCTTAATTATTCATTTTTATATGAAAATAAAGTACTATAAAATTTTAATCAATTAAAGTTATTATATAATAAATTAATATAAAGCAAAAATTTCAATTTTGGTGAAAAAGTCTTAAAATCCTATTTTCTTAATAAACCTTTCATATTATTATTTAAATAAGAAAAATTTATTATTAGTTAAATAAAATGATAGCCTATTTTAATGTATTATAATTTAATTAATTGATTTAAATTTTATTAGATTAGATCAGCTTAAATAATAGGTCAATTTAATCTGATTTAATTAAATTTAATATAAAATATTAAAATTGATTATAAATACATGATTTAATTTTATATAATAAAATTTAAAATATGTCAAATTTTTTATATAAATTGTAAAATATATAAATTCTTTAAAAAATAAAGTATCATTTTTAATGTAAATAAAATATATCATAAATAAATCTAATATAAGGTTATTTAATAAAAATAAATAAATACTTAATGATATTTACTATTTAAATAATATTATTATAAAAAATAATTTTATATAATTATTTTTTAAATTATTAATAAAATTTATATATTAAATCAGAAAATTAATTATATTATAAATTTATTTATAAAACTTTTTTTTTACTTTTTGATATCTAAACATTTTTTTTTTTTTACAAAATTTATAGATATAAATATTTCTAAAGTAATATAAAATATATTCTTATAATAAAAATATTATTTTAAAGTATTATTTTAAATATAAAAAATGTAATTAGAATTATTTAACAAAAAAATATATAAATAAAAATATTAAAAGATATAAATAAAAAGATTATAAATGATAACTAAATATTTTATTTAAATATTATTTAATAATTAATCATATGTTATTTTTAATATTATTTTACAATAACATTTTTATTAGAATAATTATAAAATTATAATGAAATATTTATTAATTAATTTTATTTATATTATCAAAAAGTAGCTAGTTATTTAAAATAGAAATATAAATATTACAGAATTTTGATAAATATAAATATATTTACTATTATTTAATATTATGATATGATTAATAAATAATGTTTGTTTATTTTAAGATTATATTATTATATAAATAAGTTAATTGGCTTGAATATTTATAATTATAATTACTATTATAGTTAAATTAAAAAATAAATAATTAGATTCTATTATTTAAATAGATAATTTATTTATAGTATTATTATATAATTTACTTTTAATTAATAATTTAATTTAGATTATATAGAACCTTTGCATAAAAAATAAAAGTAATTAGAAAAATAAAAATGAGTTAATACTATATTTTACCTAAAATCATATTTGATATATAAAAGTAAAATTGATTTTTTGTAGATATTTTCCTTTTTATTGTAAAGGTTTCATATATATAATGTGAAGTATGATAAACAATAAATAATATTTGCTTAAGATTGATTAATTTTCTATCATATCAGATTAGGAAAATTGATTGATTCATTAATTATTAATCTTTTTAAGAAAGAATTAGATTGTTACTTTTAGAATGAAATTATAAATATAATTTGTATTTTTATCAGAATAATCTTTTATTTTATACTTTGAACTGATTTAATTTTTTTTGCTTAATTTGCATAACAAGTATGAAATTATTTTTCAAATTCTCTGGTTCAATCATATTTGGGTATATTTAATTCTTCAGATTTATTATATTCAGTGTTTCCTTAGTAAAATTTTACATCTGTGATTGCAATACCTAGTCAAAAAGAACTGTTCAAAGATTGATTTATTCAACAATTTTAATTGATACATTTCACTTGTGTAGTTGATTATCACAATCAAAACCTATATGAAGACACAATGAAGTTTGAAATTGTAAATAAAGATTTTTTAAATATAGAGTTTCTATATTATTAAGACTGATTAGTTTTCACAAATAAAATGTCTCATAAAATCCTGTTGACAACCAGGTCAAAACTACAAGACTATTTATATAAACTTTTAACCTACACTTTCATATAATTAACTAGATAAAGATTGAAATATAAATAAATAATGAAAAATTGATAAAATTATTAAGCAAAGCATATGGGAGGTTTGCTAGTTACGAACATAGTAAACCATATGATCCGTAACGTGATTTTAATAGCTTACCTCCCATATTATGAAACAAGTATATTTTGGCAGTATACTGCGGCTATAAGGAGTAGTCAAATCTTTAGGTTTAAATCCATTTCGGTTCCAATCTCTAAACCAAACTCACTAAAAATTATAGTAATTTTTCGAAATATTTAGTGTCGTCATATAGGCAAGTATTTCATTAGAAGTTTTCAGTCACTAACAAAAATATATATTTAAAAGCATTTGTAAATAATTTAAAATGTATTCATTAAATATTTAATAAAGGTTTCCAATTATTTTATAAGTGTGTAAATCAATATGATGAACAAATTTGCACATAATTTAAAAGAACAATTAAAAAATGTAAAACTGATTTATTGGACGATTTAAATTATCGATGTATATAATAATGTGAAAAAAGTGTCAATTAAAAAGTTATTTATTCATTTATTCATCGCAAATTATAAATATTAAAATTGGAGTAATGGATTAGTCGATATTATTACTAATAAGCAACAATACTTCCAGGTAAGTTATGTTCCTGATTAATGTATTTAGGAGATTGTTCATTCCTATTTCTATTCCATCTATATAATAAAAATCCAAATACCATAATTATAACGGCGCCCACAGTTCCTCCAATTGATGCGATTATAATTTTCATTGTAACCAATTCATTATTAGAATTATTTGAAAAAACAATTATGGAAGTAGTTGTCGGTGATTGTGTTGTTGATGGGTCAGAATTTGCTTTTTCTTTTACACTTGTTGTTTCAAATGAATTAATCCAAGTATAATTTCTAATATCCATTATATAAATATTAGGATTCGATGTCAATGGACCGGAATTTGGTTGTGTAATATTTCCTATCAAATTAAAATAAATTAAAATGTTTTGCATTATTTCATTAACCAATGTAAA